TGGTGGCTCTGTGAGCCAGACTCCTCCTTGGGTCCTACCACTGCCACTTCCCTGATGGGGGTAAAGGTGGGAGTGCCCCATCTTATTTAAGAAAAGTTTTATTCTCAATAGCCACAGGCTTTATTTTTAATTTTTTTTTTTTTTTGAGACAGAGCCTCAAGCTGTCCCCCTGGGTAGTGCTATGGCATCACAGCTCACAGCAACCTCCAACTCCTGGGCTCAAGCAAGTCTCCTGCCTCTGCCTCTCCGCCTCCCAAGTAGCTGGGATTACAGGTGCCCGCCATAGCGCCCGGCTATTTTTTGGTTGCAGCCATCGTTGTTTGGCGGGCCCGGGCTGGATTCGAACCCGCCACCTTAGGTGTATGTGGCTAGCGCCTTAGCCGCTTGAGCCACAGGTGCCGAGCCAGACGCTGGTTTCTTAAACTCTCCCAGGGTGCACCTGTGCACGAGGGGCTGCGCGGGCTTCTCACCACACAGGGGATACAAGTGGACGTCTTTGCCTGGTTGTCTCAATGCATCTAAAACACCAAATTTACACGAAATAAAACTACTTCTCTTAATTTTTCCACTTCAAAAATGTTACTTTGATTAATTTACTGTCAAGGGAGAAATCCTGAGAATTGATCTGATTTGAATAGTATTCTTTTTAATGCATAACAGCTCTAAAACAATCAAAGGTCTGATTCACACATAAAAAGCTGTACATGTAAACCAACTACAAATAGATTCTAAAACAAATTCTCAATTGTATTTAAGAATGAAGAAATGTGCATTATCCATTACCTAAATGGTTCTCTTTAGTTTAACCTTGGATCAGAGATGACAGCCAAGAAAAACAAAACAAAAACAAACAATCCAAAGTACAAATCCTCGGAATCATCTGTGCCAACCCACATCCACCTCCCTCTTTGCAGCCCTGTGCCCAAACCTACCATGCACTCCCCACTCAGGAAGTCGGGGATGATCTCCTTGTCGATGTAATCCAGCAGGCCTCCAGGGCCCTGGTAGTCGTTTCCCGCGTAAATGAGGAACTTCCTTCTGGTGTTGTCGTCGATGAATGGACTAACCTGAAAGTGAGTAGAGAAGACCATTGGTCACATTTGCTTTGCTGTCTCACCTTCAAAGAATAACATTATAATGTGATACAAATGGGAGGGCAGGGGCAAGGGACTGACACCCTTTTTCTGTAAAGTCTGTCTGCATGGCATCAAGACACTCAGAAAAATTCTGCTTTTGTTCCCCTCCTTAAACAATTTAAGAAATTTTGTCTTGGCACATTTGTTTTTTCCTAACCAGTTAAAACAGAAGGTCACCGACATGTGCATCTGCCTTCTCAAGGGCCAGAGATGCTAAAAGTTACCACAAAACAGGCTCCACACCCACCAGCGTCCAGAGGACAGGAAACACCCTGGGCGCGCGGAGGATGAGCAGGCGGCCCAGCGTCTCGGGGTAGTTGGCCTCCACCACCTCAATGATGCGCAGCAGGGCCTTCACCCCCGGCCTCCACAAATGGCGCATGTTCAGCCCCTCCAGGTCCACCAGGCAGGTCCACGAGCTGCAGGTTGCCCAGAGAAGTGTTTAGCAAACTGTGTCCTGTATTTTTCTCTGTTTGGTCACTGATAGCTATTTCCAAATATATACCAGTTTTTTAAAAAGTATACTGCTATGAACTCTGTATTTCTTGGGTAAAACAAACAGAATGAGCACGGTAGGATCAATCCTTAAAATATCAAAGCAATCCATGGCTGACTGACAATGACTAAAAACCTCTCTCAGACATGCTCCGTGATCCACAAGCAGGCCACAGAACGCGCTCTGAGGCGCGCCGAGCCGCTCCCTGACCTGCCGCCAATAGAGCACACACCCGGCATCTTAATGTGCACTGAGCTATTGTTCTTCCACAGGTATTTACTGAGTCAAGTACTGTCTCAAGAGCCAAGAATACAGCAGTGAGGGGAGGAAACCCCTCAAAACCCCTGCCTCATGGAGCTTACATTCTAGTGAACCACCTGCACCCTTCTCAATGTCAACCTCAAATCACTGCACGTTTTCACCACAGTTTATAGTAACCAGAAGTATGGTTCAAGAACACAGAACAGTCTGGGAGAGGGAGCAAAAACAAGCAAGCAGACCACCTGCAGCCTGGGCTCCTGAGAGCCAGAGACTAAGCAGACGGGCGCACCCCGGACTGACATGCCAGCAATGCCTGGGAGCACAAAACCACCAGCGAGTGCCCATATTACATATGTATCCATTTTGTACTTTTTAGAACACCTTGGAAAACAGTAAACTACTAGACGTTTGTTCTAAAAATCAACTAGAAATATACTTAAAATCCTGCACCTACCTGATAGGCCGACCAAAGACTTTTGTATTTTCTTCACATCGTCTTAGCCCTTCTTCATTTATGGAGAGGACCTGCACATGAAAGGGCCACAAAGATTGACCAGGATTAGTCCACGGAGACTGAAACTGCCAAACCGAGCTCTGGAGAGGGCGACGTTAACACGCACGGCAAGGCAGACGTGCACAGGGAAGGCAGCTAGTCCGCTTTCTCACGCCTCCACATGTGCCGAACACATTCCCAACAACCACCAAGAACCTTTACTCTCAAAAAAGAATGGCAAAGGTAACGGCTATCGGAAGGGAAATAAAGGTTGAGAGGAATCACCCAGTGAGCAGGGGTCTGTCTTCAGAACAAGCACATGTGGAATAGGAAGAGAGAAGTGTCTGTGAAGCGTGGGGACATTCTGATTCCACACACAGCAGCCAGGAGAAAAGGCAGTCTCAGAAGAGACTCGAAGCCCTTCAACTTAGAGGAACAAAACCTTCCCTGTGGAAGAAGCCCACCCATACCTGCATGTGTGTGTGTTCACGCGTGGATGTGTATACACACACACAAACACACATGGTGGGTGAGCCTGGCAGAATCTTTAATAAGAGGCTACCATCAGAAATCTTAGCATGAGATTACAGATGGGCCTTTAAGGTTTTGGTTTTTGTTTTGAGACAGAGCCTCACTTTGTTGCTATCGGTAGAGTGCCGTGGCATCACACCTCACAGCAACCTCAAACTCATGAGCTCAAGCAATTCTCTTACCTCAGCCTCCCAAGTAGCTGGGACTGCAGGTGCCTGCCACAACACCTGGCCTTTTTTTAGAGACAGGGTCTCACTCTTGCAGGCTGGTCTTGAACCTGTAAGCTCAGGCAATCTACCCGCCTCAGCCTCCGAGAGTGCTAGGATTACAGGCGTAAGCCACTGCGCCTGGCCTAAGTTTCTGTTTATTTTTAAAGTAAGACCACATACTTCTCTGGGAAAGGATGGAAGGGGTTGGGCAAGGAGTCAGGGAGAAGACAGGCTGGCAGGAGTTTATGAAGGTCCAGATCCCAGACCGAAGGCTAAGAGCCTGCGGTAAGGACATGCCAGCAGAAAGAACACAATTAAGAGATAGGACACGCAAAACATCTCAGGAGAGTGGGAGGGCAGGGCAGGGACCACTGTGATGCAGGAGTGAAGGGAAAAGGGTGGCCCAGCATCAGCTCCAAAGCAGGCACCATGAGGAGGGACACTGGTTCACTGATGCCCTCACTGTGAAAAACATTTTTATAACTTTTGTGTCCTTTGTTGAAATTAAAGCATATATTTCCTTTCTAACTACAAAAGCAATACATGTCTACTGTAACAGGTCCACTGCAAGAAACCAATCCTGCTGGCAGAAAAAGGAAGTGTGAAGACAAAACGTAGCATGGCGTCCCCACAGCCCAGCACTTACGTATCTCAGCAGGGCCTCCTCTCCGAGGGCTCTCACCAAGCCTTTGGTATCCATCTGCCCCAGCCTGAGCACATAGAGAGGCCGCCCGTCTGCAGGAGAGGGGAAGGAAAAGTATTATCTACACCACCCCTGACGCGAAGCTGAACAAACAACTCTGAGAACCTTGAGGAAATATGTTCTCCTTTCCTCCCACAAAAGCAGCAACTAATTTCCGTGTGTGGTGATGTGTCCATCTATTTCCCCCGCAAAATTGTAAAAGACAAGAGCCAACTGACACAGCACCCTGGAGATGGCTGGGGGGGGGGCGGGGGGAGCCGAGCTGCAGCCCCACCAGGGCCTGGCTGGAACCACCCCTACTGGACCCAGTCCCTCATCAAACAAGCAGGGCTGGGCAGAAGTCCTGATCTTCAATAGCAGGAAACCCCAGAATACCCACAGACACTTTCTCTATGAATATAGAGTACCTTTAAAATTTCTCTTCTTAGAAAAATAGTTTCATAAGTTATTAAAAAGTTAACATCAAGATTTTAAAATGCTAGCCTCCTTCAATTCCTTCCCACTCTAAAGATGAACATAAATAAGAATGTTCTGGAAATCCTGAAACCTGCACCAACCAGAACATGCTGGCTCTCGACTTCTTCACAGCCTGGAGCTCTGATAGGTGGCGCCTAAGAGGAACCTGGCTCATTACGTGATGCCCTCTCATCAGGACCAGCTACATAGAGAGGAAAAGGTGGTGCTAGCACACCTAGCCTCCCAGCACCCGACGTCAAAGGGGAGTAGAGGAAAGAACCCAGAAAAGGATTGTGGTCCTGAATAGGAGCTGAGACTTGTCTTCTGTTGCTAGTGGAGGAGGAGGAGTGTCATCTTGACATAGGGGGAAAGGGACCAAAATTGACCTTGTATCTCTCCCCTAGGGACTCCACATCCAAGAACAGAGAGTCCAGCTTTACAAAACTTTCCTACTTAAAGCAAAATGTTTTCTGTGCCCCCAAATCTTGTTGAAGGGCAAACTTCTAAGTTTTCCCCAACATTTAGTAAGACACACCTGTCAATGTCTCACTATCAAACTTTTTAACCTTTTAAGGACTGGGTCACAAAGCAGAATAAATACAGCAGCACCTCTGTAATGTGACCACCTGAGCTGGTCCACATATAGAGGTAGTCAACACAAGGGACCTGCTGTATGGCTTGGTCTATGAAAATTAAGTTAGCTTAAGGAGGTGGTCAATTATGCAGGTTTATACGTATGAATATTATTATGTGCTTCTGGTAAAAATTAATAAAGCTACAAATAACCTGGAAAAATACAAAAGATTAAGTCAAGAAATACAGACAAGTCAGAGCTTAGTCCTGCCCTTGTTCAGAGGTGAGAGAGGAAGCCGGGTCTGAGCTAACCCTCACGGCTGCTGGGCCAATGTCTGCAGCTCAGTTGTGACCAGCCATCAAACTCTGACCAGGAATCAGAGCACATCTTTGACAATGCAGATCTTTTGTCAGGCATGATATGTAAAGCAATTCAAATGAGCTATGTTCTAATTTCTCATTTTAATACATTTTCCTTTTTATTAAACTTCTCATTTAAACTATCTTCACTGAAGTGCCCCACTGTCCCTCTATGCTCATCTTACTTCGCGAAGCAGACGCTCATCACTGCTGTGATGTGAAATACCCAGCAATGCATTTTACAGCAGTGTACAGATTTATGTCACTGGAAAGTTCCTTTATTGGCACTAAGTTACTGACAAAACTCTGCTGCAGACATTTCAGTGTTTTTTTTTTTTTTT